GGCTGGGGAGACTGCTTCTTTTACAATGCCATGCTTCTAGGTCTGCCCATGAGTTGAGATCTGATTCTACCTATGAACAGGTCTTGACTGTCATTGTTTTTGGATATATATATGGACTTGAGCAGCTATTCCTTAATCAGGTACAGCTGGGTTTCTTTGAAACCATGTTGGGAAGTTTCTTAAGAAAGAGCTTAGATTGTGTGCAATCTGAGGCCACATTAATGCATTTATTGGACATATCCCACAAATCATATATTGCATGCTCCTGTTTGTTGGATTAAGTGTAACTCAACTGGGTCTAATAAAATCAAGATATACTTTCCTTGTACCACCTGTGAGCCTGTTAACTAGACGATTGCTTCCTCAGAGAGAGAGAGAGAGAAGTTGGTAGATGTTGGCATGGACCTTGGTAAAGCAGCAATTTTGGCAATTCTGCACTTTCAAAATAATTTACAGGCTGCCTTGAAACAAGGTCTGCATGGCTATTTAGGAAAAAATATTGCTTCTATTCACACTACCTTTACACTTGCTGCCTATGAATACTTTGTAGGGTGGTAAAAAAGATATTTAAGGCAAAAGGAAATTATTGTCCAATAATTGTATTTCTTCCATTCCTCCCCTTGCAGAGTAGTGGTCATGGTGATGAATACTCCAGCTCTTATTTATTGTGCAGAGATTTGGGAACTAGTTTCTGTATACTAGCCCCAACTTGACAGTGTTATATCTTTGTTGTTAGTTGGTAGCACTTTGTTAGAGTGGATTCTGGAAGGCATTGTTTGCATTCAGATGTTTAATCATTCATGTCAGGATAAAGAGTGGTCTCCAGTCCGACTTCAGAGATTTTAAAGATAATACTGGAAGTTGTATTAATACACAGGAACACGTTAGAGGCTTAATCCTGCACATCTTGGTTGGAAATGTTGTGTATTGATGCCATATAAATAAGCAGGAGAGGAGTGCATGGGAAGTATACTCTGCATTGAATGTGCTCCTGTACAGTTTTCTAGAAACAGGTGTAAGGCCTAAGGGGAGTGGGTTGCTTAAAAAATGTTTATATGGGTAGTATTGCAAGAGTGTATTCATTATCTTCCTGGCTTCTTGTCTGTAGCCTCTACTTGAATGAAAGTGTGCGATAACCTTGTGCTCTTTGCTGATTAAATACATGCAGCCTCAGTACTTGCCTACACAACACACTGAACAAAAGCACTATGGCATCTTTCTTTTTTTTTTTTTTTTAAATAGATAAAGTGAAATCTTTCCGGGCAGCTCTACAAGAGGAGGAACAGGCCAGTAAACAGATCAATCCGAAGAGACCACGTGCCCTTTGAAATGGGCTTCTGCTGCTAATGGATCCTCCTAACTGCTGTAACACACAGTTATGAGATGGTGGCTGTAAGAACTCAACTACTTGAAAGCGTAAAAACTTTTGAAGTGTCAGTGGAAATGTCCAGTTTTTCTTCACCTGAATGACATTTTCATTTTTGTGTGAAACACTTCAATGATGTTTCCAAAATGCTTCTAAACCAGACAGCACAGCACAACCATGCAAGGTTCAGAGCTGTGAAGCACTTTGTTTAAAATGTTTCCTTTATTCAAATTGTGAATTTTATGTTTTGGAAATCTGCCTTTTTTAATAATGAAGTATAACAGTGGACTTGGAAAATTTCACAATTTCCTTTTAATTATGTTCAGTTTTGTTACAAAGATCAACTGTGCAGTTTTAAATTGTGTTTGCGTGCATGCACACCTCATCAGTGATTGTACATAACTTCTCTTTGAGACAGCTGTGCTCACCTCTTCCCATTCTGTGCCTTGATGAAGGCTACTTGACCCTAAATGTCCTTTTTGAAGCACAGCCTTAATAAACAACATTCCTTATTTGTCAATGTAAATTACTTTTAGTGTTTACATTTTTAATGTGTGACTTTTTTTTTTTTTTTTTGGTGACTAGTTCATTTCACAGATGTACCATATCATTGAACAGGAACTAAGAGAGCTGTTAGTGGCCAAACAGCTGGACATTCCATCCTTGTAGAAATCTGGAATCATGATTTAAGTACCATGAAGAATGGTTATAATGCTAACATTATCTTTGTAAAGAACAACACTATAAATTAGTTGATGTATAATAAAAGGTAACATTTAAATATGGAGGAGAGTTGTATGTTAGAATAACAGATATACAGTATGTGTATAAGTGATAAATGCTGTCTAGAATAAAGGTGCAATCTGATCTCTACATATGGGTAGGAGGAAAATAAAAGTTCAGGGATCCAGTGAATAGCATAAACAAATACTTTCCCACATACTATTAAAAATTTGGATTCTGATGCATGATGATTTACATGTGCATTAACTGTAGTTTGCAGATAGTTTGTATGGAGTAGTATTGTTGCTTGAAAGAAGGAAGCGAATGCATATCTTTCCCTTTGTACAGTGCCAGCAGCTGAAAAGTGAGGTGAACCTGTATCATTTGGGATTTGCACAATAGGCTGCACAAACTCTACATAATGCTATACAAATTCCACAAGTATCTGAAGTCTCACAATTAACACCATACATATCTAGCACTTTTTTGGTGGTGGCACTAGAGCTATTTTTGCAAGTCAGTGTTCAAAAGGAAAAATACTGTTTTATGTAAAACTTTGTCAGATAATTGTAGACCTCTCTGAGCTCTCCCTGTTTCCAGGAGTTTATATCAGCAGACTCTAAATGGTTTCAAACTTGGTTTTTGGACCACAAGCCCATTTATCCTGGGACTGAAGGGAAATAAAGGGAAGGCAATGAAAAGAGAGTTAAATAAGCCAGAGATCCTCAGCATTTAATGTTTGTAACTCCCATAGGAAGGCTGTGGGAGACCCATGTTGCATCATGGTAAAAAGAGCCTATCTGTAAACAAAGCTGAAACAGCAATGTAGACTTTACACAATGTGTTTAATAAATTGAACAATGAAACATACATTAGAGATGAGCACTTCTATGAAACTCATTGCTTTGGGAAGGAATTTACTTTGTGATCACACCTATTGAAATTAAGATGTTATGATTTTAAAAGTCACACAAGGCATATGGTGCTAGAATGGGTATTTTAATAACCATCCTCTACAAGCTTGAAGTGTTTAACTGATTGCAAACAGATCTTTCACTGCGTTCACACAAGAATGCAATCCATCAAAAATTAAGAGGAAATGTTAAGTAAAACTAAGCAAAAGCATTTCTGTTCATAGTAACTGATGCAGGTTAAAAGCATTCCTTGCTCTTTAAATTGAAAATTTTCATTAAAATTTTCTGAATTAAGTTTAAAGCTCACTTTTCTCATGGTTTAAGCTGTCTCAGAGGATTTGTATAAAAACAAGATAATGTAGATGATGTTCCTTTTAGCAAGCCATCTTTCTTTTGTCTACATGCAGACGAGTCCTGTGGTACATAAACTGAACTTTTCAGAGGATCTTAAAGCAATCTAAATGATTAGATTTCTGCACCAAACAAAGAATGATAGATGTTATTCAGATAGCTGCATGTTTGAGAAACTAATTTAGGATAGATATGCCTGTTTCCATACATGCCCAATTTGATTGCTACTGACGAGCGCTATTCTTAAAAATTACTCAATGAACATTATTGAAACTATTGGTCCCACACTTGCTTCAAATGACAGGAATCACTTTTATGCTTCCATTTCAAAGAAGCTATTCTCTCTGTTCTGATAATATTGACAGCCAGCAATTGCAGTGTGGTAAATACATTTTCCAAAAAATGATAAATTTGTGGAGTGGATGTTCTAGGAAATCAGGATTCTTGCTGATGTGAGGTTTTAAAAGAGTAAGATAGCATTTAAGCAATTAAGGCTGATTATTGAACTTCCCACTTGCAAATAGTCTAAATACCAACGTGTGATTAAAACCTTAATTTTTACTGATTCATCCCCCATGAGATACTGCTATTACAGCAGCTAGATTGGTTAAGCTAGGCTTCTCTAGATTTCCATAGATTGCTTCTGAAGGGGAGATTTTTTTTGCACTCTGGTTGTGCTACCCTAAGTTGAATAGAGGCGCCTTTGCTCAGACCCAGAAGTAATGCTTACACCCAGAACCTTAAGACATGATGTACTATTTCCCTGTAAGATGCTGTGTATCAACCCAGTTCTAAGCCCGAAGAACTCTAGATCTTGCATTTACAGATGATGCACTTTATGGCCATCAACCAACTCCTCATGGCCTGGGGAAAGAGGTGTTCATAAAATCAGTGTTCATAGGTTGATCTAACTACCTATCACCCCTCTAAGCAAGTGAAGTTGCTGTCTTTAACTGTTACTTAATGATGTCGTCCTGTATTACTTAACCTCTAATTCAAATTGAGCAAAACATGCCTAGCATCTACAGTACCAAAACTATTAATATATTTTGTAAATGTCATTAAACAGAATAATGCAGTTAGCACTATGACTATTCTATGTTACAAATTAAAAAAAGGTAACTTAAAAGGAGAAATGCAAAAAACAGCTGCTCTTCCGTGGCTGGAGGAGTAATCTACTACTGTTCACAGATTTACAGTACTGAAGAGTACTCTAGAATTTCCTACAGTCTGATAAGTATGTGGATTTTTATTGCCTTGATGTATACTTGTTTTAGTACTTAGCATGGACAGTGGGGTGGTCACTATTCCCAGCTCTGCCACATTTAGCATGAGCTGTACAGCCAGCCAGCAAACCAGGCTAATACTGCTGAGCTAGCCCTGTGAAGCACAGAGGGCTATCACAGATGGAACACTTAAGTTTACAGTATGATGAAAAGGGAGTTCAAGGAAGAGGCCTGTACACAGCAAAACTGTTCTGTCCTAACATTTACTGCTTTCTGGGGCACCCTAAACCCTTGGCTGTGCAGCCTGATAACACAAGATTCACTACCACTCCTGCTAACTGCTTCCACATCTAGAACAGTGGTGATCTGCTCATGCCAGCAGCAATTTCTCTACAAAAGAAAGATTAGATGCACAATTCATTTTTTTTAAAGTTAATTTATTCTCAACTGATGCATGGGCATCATGTCATCACTCTACAAACAGTTCTGTTGAGGCCAAAGCTCAGAGTTCTGTTCGGCATGTTGTAATAGCAGAAGAAAGTGCAAAGTTCAGGGAGAGAAGGGTTTAAACTAGGGACTTAAAGTCATTTCATATCATAGGGTACATGTGAAAGAGCACAGTTTTAGTCTTGACAGTTACAATATTAAATGCAACAGCAATTGTATTTAAAAATATGCTTAACAGTCATTTTGTATGATGGTGCTTGCTCTCAACAGGAGTTCCTTCTCCTAACACCTCTGTCTGTATCACACCTCAGTTCTTTCCAGAGAATGTAAAATGCTCCGACTGGCCATTTATGAAAAATGGATGCCTTCTGAATTGAAGCCATGCAGCAATCTGAAAAATCAAAACAGCTTACATGAATTTGTACTTCACACACCACCACTTATTTAAATTACCCATGTGAAAGGAGTGGGTAGGAAAAGAGAAGTCTTAAAAACTTGCTTTCTTTTCCAATCATTAAAACAACCAGTTATCAATAGGTTAGTGATAAAGACTAGTAGTAAGTACTCAACTCTGGCTATCAGTACAGATGTAATTCTAGTGCAACTTGTCTACCACTCAGCTTAACCTGCACTATCCAAGGCACAGCATTTGATTTAGATAGTCACAGTAGCAAGGCATGATGAGTCACTTCTGTCAAGAAAGTGTGCTTAGTTACAACAGACTAACATTTCTGGAAAGCTACCATTTTGGGTGTAGCTCCTCTGCATCTAAGTCAAGAGCTTAATACCTTATTAGCTGTCCATATTTCCTAAACATTGAAGAGAACTGTATAGAAAGGAAAACAAGTGAGAGTGCGGAGAGGAGTCCTGTGGCACCTTATAGATTAACTGAAGTGTTGGAGCATAAGCTTTCATGGGCAAAGACCCACTTTGTCAGATGCATGTAGTGGAAATTTCCACAGACAGGTATAAATATGCAGGCCAGAATCAGGCTGGAGATGATGAGGTGGATCCAATCAAGGAGGATGAGGCCCACTTCTAGTAGCTGATCTGGAGGTGTGAATTCCAAGAGAGCAGAAGCTGCTTCTGTAGTTAGCAAGTCATTCACAGTCTTTGTTTAATCCAGAGTTGATTGTGTCAAACTTAAAGATGAACTGTAGCTCAGCAGTTTCTCTTTGAAGTCTGGTCCTGAAGTTTTTTTGCTGCAGGATGGCTACTTTTAGATCTGCAATTGTGTGTCCAGGAAGATTGAAGTGTTCCCCTACAGGTTTTTGTATGTTGCCATTCCTAATATCAGATTTGTGTCCATTGATTCTTTTACGTAGGGACTGTCCAGTTTGGCCGATGTATATAGCAGTGGGGCATTGTTGGCACATGATGGCATATATTACGTTGGTGGATGTGCAGGAGAATGTACCAGTGACAGTATGGCTGATCTGGTTAGGTCCTGTGATGGTGTTGCTGGTGTATATATGTGGGCAGAGTTGGCACCGAGGTTTGTTGCAAGGATTGGTTCCTGAGTTCGAGTTATTATGGTGCGGTGTGTAGTTGCTGGTGAGAATATGCTTCAGGTTGGCGGGTTGTCTGTGGGCAAGGACCGGCCTACCTCCCAAGGCCTGTGAGAGCGAGGGATCATTGTCCAGGATGGGTTGTAGATCACTAATGATGCGTTGGAGAGGTTTTAGCTGGGGACTGTAGGTGATGGCCAGTGGTGTTCTGTTGGTTTCTTTCTTGGGCTTGTCCCGTAGCAGGAGGCTTCTGGGTACACGTCTGGCTCTGTCAATCTGTCTCCTCACTTCCTCGTGTGGGTATCGCAGTTTACAGAATGCTTGTTGAAGATCTTGTAGGTGTAGGTCTCTGTCTGAGGGGTTGGAGCATATGCGGTTGTACCTCAGTGCTTGGCTGTAAACAATGGATCGTGTGGTGTGTCCAGGATGGAAGCTGGAGGCATGCAGGTAAGTATAGCAGTCGGTAGGTTTTCGGTATAAGGTGGTGTTGATGTGACCGTCACTTATTTGCACCGTGGTGTCCAGGAAATGGACCTCCCATGTAGACTGGTCCATGCTGAGGTTGATGGTGGGGTGGAAGCTGTTGAAATCGTGATGAAATTCTTCCAGAGACTCCTTCCCATGGATCCAGATGATGAAGATGTCATCGATGTAGCGTAGGTGCCACAGGACTCCTCGCCGCTTTTGCAGATTCAGACTAACACGGCTACCCCTCTGATAAGTGAGTGAGTGTTTGTACTTAGTGTTCCGGGCCATTTCTTTAACATACTATTACACATATTTAATGTTTTTAAAATATTCTGAAGCTACACATTAAGAGATGGGATTTTTACTGCTTAATTTGATGACAAGCAACAAGAAAGCACATGGTCATTAATATAACAGCTTCAGAATTTTGAAGGATGTCTAATGCTGCCAGAAATTCAAAGGAAGGGTAAGGGACAGATGCCTAAGACTTCAGGCAAGATGAGAATTGTCCTGTTCTTATAACCCACTTCTGAATGAGATTTAGGTGCTACAGAATGCTGTAAACAGCAGTTTGATCCATATGCACTGTTTTTCCTCCAAGGGATCAGGCTCTTCATCTGTGGTGATAAATTACTTCTCCTAGACCTATGTAATCAGGTCATGTTCCTTTTAAAATTTGATTCAGAATGTGTGTTTTTGCTTTGTTACCCTCAGCCTGTTTGTGGTATCATCATGTGTAGTTACAACAAGTGTAAGGATGTATATAAATAATGTCCGTCTAGAGGTTTGCAACAGATTGAGTCTTCTGGTCAGAATACCCATAATTTTCATCTTAACTAGATTTACCTGGCGTTGCTTGTGTTTTTAACTCATAAGTTTTGTTTTTCTTAATTTAAAATCATTGCTCTGGGGTGGGGCTGGAGATGAGGGGTTCAGTATGCAGACTGCCTCAAGAGAAAGGATAACCCCAGCCCTCTCTTACCACAGCAGCTTGAGGTCAGGTGAGAAGCACCTGTCCAGGGCTGCTACAGCTCCAGCGGGCACAGCTGGGGGAAGAGATGCATGTGCTCTGGCTGAGGAACACAGACAGACACACAAACTCTGATATAGTTAAAACCTATCCTTTTCTTCACCGCTGCCAGCCAAATGGGGTTACAGCTGCCCCAGTTCTCATCTCTGGTCCCTTGCTGCTTGTGCTCATTCTGCAGTATAACTTCCTCCAAACATACTCCCTTTCTATTTTATGAGAAAATCCAATTCCAGGTACATCCCATTGTTCTGGCACAATTAAACCCTGACCTTGCTTTGAGTTATGAGGAAGCTGCATACCAAATCTGGTGGCACTAGCTCTTATCATTTAGGACGAGTTCTTGAACAGACTTCACAAATGGATGGACACATTTCTAAAATATATAAGATGATTAATGGCCAACTGTACTAAGTTAGTGTTCCCTGAATTTACATTAATGTACATCACTAGAACTATCACATGAATAGTTGGATATATGGAAAGTGGGTGGTTAACACTTTAGGATAACACTACTATTTCTTCCATTAAAAACTGATACAAATCTGTTTTGATATTAGAGATGCACCTTCATTTTTAGAACAGAGCACAGGAAGCACTTGAAATACAAAAGGAAATTCACAGCGTTTACCTAATGAAGTCATCTATATCCATTGAGCGAGCCCGTTTGTCAGAGAAACCTGTATTTTCTAAAACCATCTGTATTTTTTCTGCAATTTTGAAGTTTTCTGGTATTTCCTGTCAAAATAAGTTGCAATACAGATAAGTTATTTCCTCAACACTAATGATTTTAAAAATCTTGTAAATTCCACAGGTCTTCAGGCATCCAAGCACCGTACCTAACCCTTGCTATACATGAAGATGACTGACCACTTCCAATGAAAAATGCTTTAAAAAAAATCAGGTTGCTATTTTCTCAGAGGTATAGTATACACAGGCCACCTAGTAATTCTGGGTTTTGCAAGACTGTCCTGCTTTGGAACACAACTTATCACATTGACGCAGCTCCTGCTCCACGTGAGTGGTTGGACAAGGCTTCCTGCTCCAGGCATTGTGACCTGGCCCCCGCTGCTCAGGTTTGGCCTGGCTCCTGATAGGAGTTGCGGGGGGGGGGGAAGAGATCACAAATTTGAGTGGCATTACAACCTGGTACACAGGGTTGCAACATCAGTCACTCAGATTTGTCCCAACTGAGATAAACCTGATCCTTGTTGTAACCCATGAACTAGGGCAGGGATGGGGAACCTCAGGCCCGGGGGCTGGATATGGTCCCCGGCTTGCCTTCATGAGGCCTGAAGCTCAGCACTAAGGAGCCCATGCTGGCGCTCCAGCCCCCCTGCCACCCACTCGTAGGGCTAGACCATACAAAATCTAGTAGCCTGGGCCCTTCTAGGCTCTGGTATGCAAGGGGAATGTAGGGAATGTCTTGCTCCTTCTCAGGGGCTTCTCACTTGTGTATGGCCCCCAGCTGATTTTTCTGTGGGTCAGCAGCCCCCAACCCAAAAAAGGTCCCCCACCCCTATGCTGGGGTCCTGGGTGTAGAGCTCAGAACAAAGACTTAAACCTAGCCAGCCCTACAGAGCAACCTTTGTACTCACCCTGCAATTCCCCTTTTCTCCCACACAGGGAACAGGACCCTTCCTTCCCCCCAGTCCCTGAAGGCAGGACCCAACCCACTTTCACTACCCTCAACAGTGGGAGGCAGCCATCCACTTGAGAAAAGCAATCATCATGCCTATCTCTATATTCATTCAGCACTTAGGTTAGAGTTTCTGGTGCCACGAGAATATAAATCAATAGTCCCTTTTTTGCTTGCCTCCTAGGTTACTGTCTATGCATATGGCAGCATGCTAAGTAAGAACAGTACATACACAGCTACAAGCTGCAGTGAAAGGAAAGTAGCATCCACACTTGTCCATTGCAGAGTGTAGCTTCATGTGGCAGGAAAAAACCCTACACCAGCGGAGAGGCAGAAGGTAACTCCTGCAGCCTTTTCCTGCTCTCTGCACTCACTGGAGCTGTTCACTATGGCAGGGAACGTTGCAGGCTGTCGAACAACACTAAAAATAGTAGTGTAGATGTGGGAGACACTGCTTGGGCATGCTGAGTCTCATGTAGGGTGTATCACGGAGGTTCAAGTGTGTAGGGCCATGCCACACTAACTACTCTGCTATTTACACCTGTGCTAATCAGGTGTGCAGTGTCTGTACTTTATTTGCCAATATAGCTTTTCTGTGTTAGGCTTGCAGGTAGCGATTAGACAGCCTGGATCTGACCGTGCCCCACCGAACAGGAGCCTGGCTCTAGTTTTGTTACCCACTTAATCCCACTGAAAACTCATCTCAACCTATTTTAAAGTCAAACATAAATATAGCAAGAGATGCTGGCTCCTGTATGTTTGTCTACTACAAGTCTAAATAGTTTAAATTTGTAATAGCATAACAGCATAATAGCATAACAGCCTTTAGGATTATACAACACAATATAGTACATTGTCACCAAGTGACAGTAAAACTCAGACATTCTGCTTGATTTACCTTTTAGTTGTACAAAAATGCAAATCAATGTTAGCTTAAAAACAAGGGGATTTATGTCCCCTACCAAACAACTGAGGTCTGCTAATGTTAAGTGTGTACCTTATTTACCTGGTTCTCTGACATACAGAAACTTGCACTGTTAAGAGACTGACTAAAACAGAGGAATTCACAAGGCAAAGCAAATCAAATGAATGTAGATGTCTGAAGAATTCAAACTGCACAAAAACAGTGTGGTCAAGCTTAAGGTCCCCTTAATTCAAGACAATATTAATCTACTAAAATATTTAACAATTAAAGACATTTAAAAGTGTGGAGATTAAACTGCTGCTGATTACAGCCACCTGGCCAACCAGATTAGCCAATAACATGTGACACTAACTACAGGCAGTCCCCGGGTTATGTACAAGATAGGGACTGTAGGTTTGTTCTTAAGTTGAATTTGTATGTAAGTCGGAACTGGTACATATTGTAGGGGAAACTCTAGCCAAACATTTCTCCAGAGCTCAGTTTTATTCTCCCACACCTCACTTCCCTCAGTCCTTAATTCTCAAGCTGAGGTGTCTGCTGAGAAAAGCCGCTCCACGTCTCCCTGGTCTGCTGGGGGGGAAGCAGCTAGTGCGGGATTGCCTCACCCCGTTTGTAAGTAGGGATCCGATGTAAGTCGGATCCATGTAACCCGGGGACTGCCTGTA